TATTCTTTATGCCAGTATCCCTGGCCCATGTAACGCAAAGACCAGCTGCCAACAGATCACATATGAGGAATTTGTTGTTGAACTGAATTACTTTAGTCAGCCATGCTCACTGTTCCCTTGTCTGTACAAAGCTCCATGCATACCAGAAACTCACCATGTATACCTGAAACAATACCACTGTCACAATATGGGTTATTTTGGTGTGGGATGGGAGAGCTCTAGCCTGACCCTTAGATACCTTTACCTGTTGCCTCCCTTCCACAGGGATCTGCATCCACTTAGTGGGAATAAATTCTTGTTGTGCTTTCCTCCCAGCATTAAGGAAAGTCACAGCACTAAACTCAAAATCAGAGAAGGATCTACCCTCCTTCTTTCATTTTTACAGTCATGGAATACTACTAGCTCAAAATGATGGCAAGTTTCGATTAAATGTTTGTACAGTTGTGGGTCCCCCTCCCTTTCACTCAAAAAGAGTCCTACTTCAAACCTATTTATCTCTGCACTGACTCTCTGAATGCTTCCACACTTGAATCAAACCATGGCAAAGCAGATTTTTAAAACCTGATTTGGCATGGATTTGAGTCCCTGCACCTCTACCCAAAATCCAGGCTTTCCTGGGGGGAAGGGGGGTGTCTAGCTGCCCTCTGATAATTACCAGAAGAGTACCCAGATACTCCACACTCTCCCAAAAGTGTCTTAAAATTAAACGAAAACTTACTAGGCCACCATTAACCTCCTGTGGCAGTCCTCCTGACACATAGAAATTATGTGCCAAGAGGTGGGGGAGGAGCTATTTTCCTCTTTGCACTTCCCCCCCCCCCCTCCACCTACTGGAGCATCATTTTTACATGCCAAGAGGACTGCCAGAGGAGTTTAATAGTGGCCCAGTTTGTTTTTGTTTAATTTTGAGGCTTATGGGGTTGGGAAGAGGTGCCCTCTTGGGTCTCCAGGCTCACAGAGCCCAAAAACATGAGAGGGCTGTGGGAACCGACACCTGGGTCAGTCCCCACAGGCCCATACCCCATTAAACTTGGCCTTTCAGGTAAGCCGAGATAGGGGTATCTAATGAATTTGGGACAAAGGAGGGTTTACCTGCTTTGTCCTGAATTAATTCACTTTTACCTTAGGCATCTTTTGATTGCCTCAGGTAAAAGCCCTACAGGTTCCACATTTTTGGAACTGTCTGGAAGGGCTCTCTGTCATTCTTCTATAAGCCTCAGTTAACAAGTTAGCAATACTTCAGGATTACATTAGGCCAACAGCTAATTTAATTCACAGTTATCTTTCAATTTTCATGTGTTCTGAAGTTTGCAATACAGTTCTCCACACAATACATAAATTGATAGCAAAATTTTAATTTTGCAAAGATAAACTGTGGAGTGAATAGTATACTGCTCCTTCTTTCTGTATAATCAGAAGTCACATTGTTTTGTCATCTCTCAAACACTTATCTCCTCTTTCCGAAAGACCATAACTATCTTTTAAATAAACAAAGCCCAAACTGAGTTGCTAGTCTCTGCTATGGTGGACAGCAGGATTTACGTCCACCATAGCTAAGACTAGCAAATAAATTTACCAAATAAATCAAAAATCTTTGCAAACTTTGTGATGAGTGAAAGCAATCTATTTCTGCAGAGTATGAGCCACTGTGGTTTAGTGATTTGAGAATTGGATTACAACTCTGGAGACCAGGATCTGAATACCAGCTTTGGGCAAGTCACATTCACACTAAATAACCTTTGACAAGTCACACTGGAAGTCACACAACAACATCATCATCATCAACAACAACTATTACAGGACAACTTCTGCAAAACCATGAGATACACTTCTTCAGAAGTATCCTGAAACACTGCTGGCTGCATTTCTACACATTCTTACCCAGGAATAAGACCCAAAGAATGTAGTGGGACTGTATTTCAAGTAAATATAGATAGTATTGCGATGTTAATCTTCATTTTCAGCATTTTACTGCCCTTTGAAATAGAGCTATGGAATTGCAGTAGATTTTGTGCTCTCTTGTTTACTGGAGATTTAATTTCCTTCATCTGGATTCATTACACGCCCAGTGTATTGTACTCTCCAGGTCTTATTATGGATTTTTCTCATTTCACCCATATCATTTCTTAAAATTTAATCTCCATGCAATATATTTCCAATTATACTCTGTATCCTTATTGTATCCTCCATGGGTGGGAAGAATCATTTGAACTTTTTTAGATATTTAATTTTCTGGGTTAGGTAGAACGCAATGAGGAAAGACATAACATGACATTGTTTCTTTTTTTATTAAAAGCTCATTCCATCATACATACCAGAAACTGCAGAAGCCTTTCATTTCTCTTGAGGGAAAATTTTGAGTAATTTTATTTTTATTTTTACTTAGTTTATATTTTTAACTAGTGGGAGTGGGATTAAATCTGGATTGGACACCAATATACTTAATTGAAAGTAAAAGGGCAATGACTTTCAGCTCCATCTTATCCACTTAACGTACCACACAGTTTGACCCTTCATTAAGGTAATCTTCTATGTACTTAATGAAAACAAATCATGTTCACAAGTTATGGTTAGATCCTGTCTTACAGAATTTGGAAAGCAGTTTTTCAAATAAATTAGTTACCACTATAGTTCCAAGAGAGCCAGCACTGCGTAGTCGTTTGACTGATAGACTATGAATCTGGAAACCTGCTCAATCATGGAAACCAACTGGATGACCTTGGGCAAGACCCACTCTCTCAGCTTCAGAGGCAACTCCCTTCTCAGTAAATCTGGCCAAGAAAGCCATGTGTTAGGGTTGCCACAAGTCACAAAGAACTTGAAGGTACACAACAGCAACATCAATAATGGTTCCAAGACAAAAAAAATGGAAGGGTGTTATTTACCATTATAATTATTTATTTTTAAAAAGTAGTTCTTTATTTTCTTGTTTCTTAAAATTGCAGTGAATGAAACTACATCCAGCATATTGTAACAGTAGCAAAATTACAGTTATGAAGTAGCGACAAAAATAATTTTATGGTTGGGGGTCACCACAACATGAGGAACTGTATTAAGGGGTTGTGGCATTAGAAAGGTTGAGAATCACTGCCCTAACAGCTCTACAATCTTATGATCTCCAGATATTTGCCAGTTACCAAATCCACAGGGTGCAATGCAGCTCTTTTATGGATTCTTATTAATTTTCTATATGAAACTCAGGAGGAGAAATAACTTGGATTGTGTCCTGTGAACATGTGATTTGGCTGAGAACATTTATCTGGTTAACAACAAAGAGATAAAAGCACATTGCAAAATATGCATGATGAAATGAATCACTAGGCCAAAAATGAAATGGTTTTAGGGGGAGTCTACTAAAAGACAATTATATGAATGAGAAATGGAGAGACCTAAATACAAAAATATAAATTTGAAGTACCTATTAGAGCCCTGCTCTGTGAATCTATGATTACTAACTCTATGCACATACTAATGTGTTCAAAAATGGCACACAGTATTTTTTTTTCTGCAACCGAAGTCATTACCAAGTACAACTGGTATAAAAAGAGTGAGGAAACAGAACCATGACTGGGCATAGCAATCTCCTCATATTCCTACAGAGGGGGCAAAGTAAAGAAAACAGTCTTGATCCTCAATTTGTTGTTCATATAAACAAGAGAATTGCTCTAAAACAATTTATGAGATGAATCCTACCTTTATCTCCTTCAGAGACCAAGGCAACAGGAGGTACAACTTAGCTTCTGTGTTAGTTTTGCAACAGGATCAACATCCCATGGCAACTTTCTCAACCCCTGACTTTATTCTGAAGCTGAAATCTTGAATCATATTCAATGTGCATAGGATGTATTTAGTTAGTTGGTTAGTTACTGATTGACTTATTTATTTCAGGAGTGGCCAGCTGATTGGGGGGCCACATGCCAATTTCCCCTTAACCTAACCTACATTGATTTCTGTCACAATCCTGCGAGGGTCTGCAGAGGAAGAAGATATGTTCAGATTTTATGGGGTTCTAGGGTGGTGGTGGTTGGAGTGAGGTTATTTTTGAATGTTATCACACATCTGAGTAATTTTTGCATGTTTTTGGATAAAAATATGCTGAAATTTTAAACGTTTTGAGGTGACAGGCTTTGGAGGACTGATGAAGGATCTCAAGGGCCAGAAAAGTGGGGTTCAAGGGCCATGGGCATTTTTTCCAACCCTGATTGATTTAACCCAGTGCTTCTCAACCTGGGGTCCTGAGATGTTTTTGGCCTTCAACTCCCAGAAATCCTAACAGCTAGTAAACTGGCTGGGATTTCTGGGAGTTGTGGGCCAAAACATCTGGTGACCCACAGATTGAGAACCATTGGTTTAATCTAATGCAAGAAGCTAGGAGAGTTTGGGAAAGTTAATTTTGCAACTATAACTTCCATAAATCTCCAGCCACCACTGCTAAGAGGTCCTAGCAGTTGTAGTCCAAAACATAAACTTTCATAAGGTTGGATGAGACAATTTCCTTATCCAGTGCTCTCATAGGCAGAAGCTCTTTGGACTCCCAGGATGGAGTCCTTTCTATTGCCTTCTATTAAATGTTTTAAGCTGGAAATGCCAAGAAATGGATCAGGGAACATTTATGCGCAAAGTAGGTCCATGTGCCAACCCTATTATTAGACATTTAGGAAGAATGGGGATGGTATAAAAGGGCAACTAATTCTTGGGTGGTTGTATATTAATGCATTTTTATTAGCCAGGAGGAAGAGAAGTACAGCCAGATTTTCAAAAGAACACAGCTCTGATAGTCTTGTATTGAGACATGTGTGGCTCCTTTTTGAGCAGCAAAAAGTTCTATCCTGAGCTATGATCCCTGCCCACATACGTCTGCCCACTCCCCATCCTTATCAATGGCGGTGGTCAGGAGGCGGTGATGTGCATGGAAGGAAACTAGGCTAGAGAGTTGATTGAGAAATGGCCCCAACCCTCCCCTCCCCCCTCTCCCATGGCATGAGGTGAAGCTGGTGTACCTGTTTATTCTTTAAGTCAAGGGAGAGCTCATAATCAGAGGCCGCGGCATGGGAACAGGTGGCTGCCCCTTTGCTGCGCTGCCCTCTCACGGGGGAACCCGTGTGGTGGAGGCTGGCCTTCTGCACCAAAAGGGAGCACCCCGCTGCCTGCTCTTCCTGCAGCTCCGCATGCTGGGCTTTTAACTTCAAGGTGTCGGACCTGCCTTCCTGGCCACTGTGTCTGCCGGCCTCCTTCGGATCCTCCGTGTCACACCCGGGTTTCTTGCTGGCTGAACCGCAGGGATCATCACTGTGAACAAAACGCAATGTTTCTCTTGTTTTATTTGTTCTTTTTTTCTTTCTTAATTCTCTCTAGCCCTTAGTAGTTTAATTGGTTTTGCAAATATCCACAGAGTACATGCTGTTGCTGAGCAGAAGTAAGGGAGCTCATGGGAGTAGATTAATGTTGCCATAGGATTGGTGCTGTGCCCCTAGAAACGTGGTGGGACATTTTCCTCTCTGACAGCTCCTGCTGATGTCAAGGATACTTGGTTCATTCCCTTTAGTTTATGGCCCAGTAAGTTGACCATGTGGTGTATAGTAGCCCATTTTGGATTGCAGAAATGGGAAATTGTCAACTACTGGCTAGACCACAATATATGACCAATGGGCAGCATTCAGTTGACAGATATCTGGTTCTGCAATCTGAATTGGGGGGGGGGGGGTCCCCTAAGAATGGAAAGAATATTTGAAAATATTCATGAAATGGTCAAATAATATATTTTCCTGGTATTAAGAAACCCTGATGGGAAGACTCATGATGCACTAACAAGAATCTTTGCAATTCAGCACTTATTCTTCACACAATTTGCACAGGGTTATTTTGCACATAAAGTATTTTCTATTCAGAAAATAATAATTATATACAAAAATAATAAATTGTGGATTTATTTTGTACTAAATTTGCACATAGTTGACTTGCATGGAAAACAGCATTTTCTGTGCAGGAAACAACATTGTTATTTCCTGCCCAGAAAATGCTGTTTTCCATGCAAAAATCCCATGTGTGAAATTTGTGCAGGACAAGAACAAAATTGCTAACGCTCTTCAAAATCTGTACAGATTTTATCACAGAAAGGACACAGTTGTTAAAATTATGTGTTGCTTCCTTCAATAAGAAGGGTATCATCACACTAGAGAAAAAATCCACTTAAAATTCTGGTTTCTGCCTCCTGCAGTTTAGGGAGGAGACTTTAACAGCCTTACTAAACTACAAACCTCAGAATTCTGTAGGAGGCAGAAACCGGATTTTAAGTGGAACTTTTCTCTAGTGTGATGAAGTGGTAAATGAAGAATTACATCCCTAAATGTCCCCAATTTACTCTGTGGCATGCTAGGTAGATACAAGCCTATCTTTTCAAACATAAAGCCAATAAGAAGTTTTAGTATTTGCTTTATCCATTACATGGTACATGTGTCAAGATATGTTCAGTGTGCCAGCCAAACTTTTCACCTGAACTCAGCATCCCTCAGATGCTGCAAGTCTGACCTTTTATGTGATGCTTTGAAGTGAGCTGGTGAAGAAGGGTTTCATCAGCACGAAACAGTGATTGCTGCTTTTATGGGTCTAACTGTGTAAGAGTTACATTTAAGGCTCATCTGAATACCAACTCATACCTGATTATGGCAGAGCTAAGGATCTGAGAATTGTTCTTTGGGTATTAGTTTTTTTTTCTCAAAGAGAGGGAGGTCCTTCCTTTAACAAAAGGGTTTTGAAGCAAGACATGTTGTAACCTAGGCAGTTTGACAGATGCAGAAGCAAAAGGGGAAGAGAAAACCACTGCTGTTAAAGATGTGTCTATCCCAGTGACCAGCTGGGAGAAAAAATTGCTGGAATATCACATCTAGCAAGCTCTTTTATTACATGACAACCTACCCTCAGGTATTTTTATTCAGAGGTAAGTCCTACTGTGTTCAGTGAGACTAACTCTCAGATAAGTGTAAACAGTCCTGGTTTTCATAGCATGGGTTTTCCCTCACTGGAGACCCCACTAACTGATAGAATAGATTTACATGTAGATTTCTGGTTCCCCACCAAAAACAAAACAACACAGAAAGTATATCACTATGTATAACATGCAAAGACTATGATTTGACACAAACCTCTGGATACATAAAAGAAACTGGGGTGTGTGCGCAGATGAATGGATTTCTTCCTTTAATTTTCACCAATATGTGCACTTCTGCCACACATTTAACTTCAGCCTTCCTTTTAATGAAAAATCATTTGTGGTTGGCAGAAGAGGGAATCATAGCTGTCATTTAAATGAAGGGGTAAAAAAATGCCCAGGTGTAAACAAGTATTTTGATGTGCAATTTTGAGATGTGTGAACCATGGTTTCAAAAAATGATTGGGAAAAGAATAATCTGTTTTCCCTCAAATTAGACTTCACCCGAGTGGCTTCCTACTGTGTGCTCTTGACTTGTTGTTGACTTGCAAGGCAATTCAGTCCAAAAACACACTTCAGATTTTACCATCGTTTCAGTGAATCCAGCTAATTTTTAGGACACTTCAATAATTTCCATAGCAACAGACTGTGATGTCACAAGGACAAGAATATTAATGTGCCACTGGATGAAACAAGGGACAGCTCTCCCAAGTTGTCTCTTTCACACACAGAGAGAGTTAGTGTTGCAGTCACCGCTTTGAGTCCCATCCGTGGGAGAAAAGCGGGAGAAAAGTAAATAAATAAATAACAGGTTAAAAAGAAAGAGAAAAAGGGCAAAATATATTAAACAAACCATGTTAAGCTGACTCCGAAAATGAGCATCCTGTAAAGGATACATACTTAATTCAGATGTCATTTGAAACCACAGTTTATAATTTTCATATTGAGTCTAGTGAGCCTTTGGCTTGCTCCTTTCTCACCTTCTAATCTTCTGATATGGCCAAGTAGGATTTGGAAGCTTTTGTTTTTGTTTATTACTATCCCTTATCCAAAATGTTTTGGACCAGAGGTGTTTTGGAGCTTGAAATGGCTGGGAGGGCGAGAATATCTGTATTTGCACGTAGGTACATAATGAGATATTTTTGAGATGGGGCCAAGTCTAAATATGCATTTTATGCTTCAGATGTACCTTATAAGCACATAACCTGAAGATAGTTTTATGCAATATTTTTTAATAATTAGGTATATGAAATGAAGTTTGTGTACAGTGAACAAACACACATGGGCAATTTTGAAGTATTTTAGATAGTCAGATTGGAGATTCTCAACCTGTATTTGCAGCTTGTCATATTAGATAAAGCTAATAAATTATGTTGGATGTTAACTATGGTTTACGCTTAAAAAAGAAAATTCAAACCATGGGATGTATTCCAACAAGCCATAGTTAACACTAACTACACTTCAGTTGTAGGCTACCATGTAAAATCCTCTGTTTCATTGTCAGTTAGGATATATGGGGGGTTTTTTTGTTTTGTTTTTGTCAATTCAGCTAAATAGTTAAGATTTTTTTTAAACAAGGATTTTCTGCTAAACCTAAATCGTTCTGGCCAATGTACATGTCCAAACAAATCTCCCCTTATGAACCATCTAGGACCTTAAGATCATCTGAGGAGGCCTTGCTCTCGTTACTACAAGTATGTATGGCAGAGATGAGAGACAGGGCCTTCTTGGTGGTGGCCCCTCGGCTGTGGAACACCCTCCCTAGGGATATAAGATTGGCCCCCTCCCTTTTAACATTCCAGAAGAAAGTCAAGACGTGGTTTTTTGAACAAGCGTTTGCAAATGTAGAGTAACTGACACAGAAAAATGGAACGACTAGACAATGAGTCCGGACAACACTATGAATTAATATTTTATTGATTTGTTTAATTTTTATTATATGTTATGTTTTTTATGTTTTTAATTGTGTTTATGACATTGTAAGCATTGAGTTTTGTCTCATTAACTGCCTTGAGTCGCCTACGGGCTGAGAAAGGCGGTATATAAATACAATAAGTAAATAAATAAATAAATAAATTTCCAACCTCTGGTGACCTAGGCTAAGGCAACCCTATCATGGGGCTTTCTTGGCGAGATTTGTTCAGAGGGCTTTTGCCATGAACTTCTTCTAGGGCTGAGGCTGGATTTTCACTTGCCATATAATGCAGATTGAACTGCATTATATGTGTCTACAGTAACCATATAATGCAGATTCAAACTGCATTATATGGCAGTATAGATCCAGCCTGAGAGTGTGTGACTTGGCCAAGGTCACCCAGTGAGTTTCCAGATTGAGCAGGGACTTGAACCCTAGTTTTCCAGAGTTATACTCAAACCAATACACTATGCTAGCTCCCAAATCATTGTTAAATACCCAAATTTCTATAAACCTGCCAGGTAAAAAACCACATTATGGTCAATATCAGCAACTGGTCAGTCATTCCAATTATTTTCTGCACATCATTAAACAAACTATAAAGAGGCGAAATGGTCAGGAAATATATTTAAACAACCCCCTACTAATTAACATTCTATAAAAGCTGTGGTTAAAAGATTACAGCATTTTAAAAGAATGGACATAGACCAATCAATCATATGCACTGAGCAAGGCAACATCCAATGAAGTAATAAAGAATAATGGTAATGGTAGTAGTAAAATCCTAAATGTCCAACAGGAAAGAACAACCTCCAGTATATTAAAAGTATAGGGGTGTTAAGCAAGCAAATAAAGGTTTTATATCTGCTAGAATTCCAAAAACACTTTGCTACTAGTAGTGGAAGTGCTGGTGTTTTACTGTTTGATCGTCAGGCTATCTTACTGTTCACTCGATCTTTAATGTCCCTCCTTACTTTTAATCAGTCCAAAAAAACTGCACAATCTGAAGTTACTGTTTCCCCTTATTTACAAGTTTTCCACAATATGCCTGTTGTAATTCCTGTTTTGCACAACTCGTAAGAATATAAGCTATGCATGTGTATACTGGATATAGGTGCTGTCATGCTTTTAAACACGGCGGATATTACTTGCTTTAGTAGAGGCTTCTGGAGAAGTCTCTCATTAGCAAGAATCCCTTTCTACATTTAGCAGATTTATGATGCAGCTAGGAGAATGTGCAGCAATCTCAAGGTTTTTTCTCATGGGATAATATTACAAAGGATGGGCTAGAGGATGTTATGATTAATGGGCCAATGGGAGAAAATCCAACACAAGAGGTATTAAAGCAGCACTTTTACAAATTGTGTGAAAGTTGACATATTGTTTGAAATGTGCCTTCTATAAAGATATGATGCAGTTAATATTTAAAAGTCCATTATATAATCT